ATTGCCTGAACCCAGGAGGCGGAGGTTGCGGTGAGCCGAGATCGCGCCATTGCACTGCAGCCTGGGTAACAAGAGCGAAACTCTGTCTCAAAAAAAAAAAAAAAAAAGAAGTCTCTCTTTGAGTTTATAAACAGACACGTCTTCCTGTTCTGTCATGAATGCTCCCTGCCGTATTCCTTCGATTAGCCCATCACTTTGTCACCATGGCATCTGTACGCGTATTTTCCAAAGTGTTGACATCATCTTCACTGTCCATTTGTGGCATCATGTTGGTGGTGCTCAAAACCTTCCGGATTTTGGAACGTGTTGAATTTCAGACTTTTAGAGTAGGGATGGTCAGGCTCTACTACTTCTCATTTCAGAGAAAAACATAATATCCAAAGAACTAATAAACACTTGGTTGGAGAACGATGACTTCTAGAAACGACTGTTGAATCCGTTTCTGAGAAATACTTCTCTTTGCTCTCTAGGGGAGCCTACGGCTGCTGCTGTTCTGTGTCATCATGTCCCGATCAGACAGACACGGATTTTTTTTAGAAAAGAAAACGAGTATATTGAATATGTAAATTTAGGCTGTAATATGTCCTTGAGAAATAAATAAATATTACATGGACTCCATTTTTTTCTGACAGTCAATTAAGCACAAAAAGATTTTTAAAGCACTGAGTTTTGCATTCTTAAATAACAAATGACGTCTCCTTGAAATAAGGTTTTTAATGATTTAGAGAAACATTTGCACATCCTCTAGCTTGGTGTTGATTCTCAACTTGGCATTTTTATCCCTGTTTTTTTGAGATGGAGTTTCGCTCTTGTTGTCCAGGCTGGAGTGCAATGGTGGGATCTCAGTTCACTGCAACATCCGCCTCCTGGGTTCAAATGATTCTCACGCTTCAGCCTCCCAAGTAGCTGGGATTACAAGTGTGCAGCACCATGCCTGGCTAATTTTGAATTTGTTTTTAAGTACAGATGGGGTTTCGCCATGGTGGTCAGGTGGTCTTGAGCCCCTGACCTCAAGTGATCCACCCCCGCCTTGGCCTTCCAAAGTGCTGGGGTTACAGGTGTGAACCACCGCACCTGGCCTATTCTTTCCCTTTTGCTGTTTTGCTATGGATGATGAATGTCTTAAAACTACTGAACTTCTTATACCTTGATATGTTTAGTGAGACCTTCCTTGTAGGATGGTTCTGAATGATTTTCTCTAGAACCTCCATTTGAACATCTTCCTTTTCTCTGCTCATTGTACCAGTCTGTAGATATCAAAATCATATATGCTGAATAGATGCTACACTATGACAGGTGAAGCCAGTGCTAAAAAGCCGCTTCTACATATGGCACTTCCGAATTATGTTAGTGCGATGGCTTTCCAAATGCTTTCCCTGCTAGGCCGCCCGCTGCATGTCATCTGCTAACATGCAAACTATATCCTTAATGAAAGTCAATTTTATTGAATAAATAAGTGATTATAAAATTGTAAAATGAAATTTGATGGCAATTTAATTTGAATCTACATATAGATTCAAAGAAGGAATCTACATCTATACATCTCACCAAAGATGGTGTAAATCTTTGGTGAGGACACAAATTCATTTTTGTGAAAATTCTTCATATGAGTTTAAAAATCTTCCAACTGAGAAAAGGACAAGTCAAATCTTAGTGCCCTGGCTGGCTTAGCATTTCATAACTGCCAGAGAACCATGAGGACCTTCCGGACACTGACTCATGGGAGTTCATCTGCAACAATTCAGGTCTCCTAGTGGGTCATGTTTTCGTTGGAGATTATTTACTATGCCTGGAATCCTAACACTTGGTGTCTCTAATGAGAAAAAATAATCCAAAAAATTTCGGTATTCAGCCAACATAAATTTATATGATCTACAAAAGAAAGGAATGCTTTCAGCTCCTGGGCTTGATTATTTTTGTTTTCGATGTGACAGATTGGCTGAACAAAGCTTACAAATCCTCCTCTTCCTCTCTGCTCGCTACTGCCCCCACCCAGAAAACATACACGCACACCTTCCCAACCAGGTCCCCTCTGACTGTTAACGCCACATAAACTGTAGGTCGCCATGCTTTTCTGAGGGACACTGCCTCCGCGGAGGGCGCCTTTATTCTCAGTCTCCCTACGTTCCCGGCCACAGGACTGGACTTCTCAATGCTCACAACGTTCCCTTGGAGTATATCAGTTGAGCAGGCAGAAAAAAATATCTGGAAGTTTATTATTTTTCCACCAATATATTTGACACCACCTTTGGAGAGGGAACAAAAGGCACACTGTCAAGCAGATAGACCTGGACAAAATGTTACTGTTTGTTCCTCACGAGCACAGAGGTATATTTACGCAAAGAAAGACATTCCACGGCTCTCCCGGGACTTCCTTCCTTCAGCTGAATTATAGCAACATGTTCACACCACTGGGGAGCAGGCTGCTGGAATTTAAAACGCAGACCTCTATCTGCCAGTGCTCCAATACCACAGCTAGAGCCATTCATATTAGGATTGAACCTGGCTTTCAGTGATCATGAGATAAATGGGAGTTTATTGGGGAAAGAAGTGTCCACCCTTGAAACTACAGCAGAAGATGCGGAAATAGGACTGTCTTTGTTCGGCAGATTCTATGCTAATACAGTAGAGCCTCAAAGTCACCAGAAGTCACCTGGCCTTGGGTTATGTTTCAAATCCAGGCTGACGGACATTCATGAAGCCTTTGGCAACACCGCCAAGTTTCGTGCAAGGCTGGGTAGAATGCTTCTTTCATGTGGAACCTGTGTGAAACCAGTGGCTTTGGCTACATTTCACCTGAAGTTTCACATTCAAACAATCCAGAGTCTCCAAGTAAAATTAAGGGGTGAAGAGAAACAGAGAAAACAAAAAACGGGAAAAATGGCCTGCCTGGGAATGGAATGATCACCCACCATTCTCCAAATAGGCGTCATCCTGGTGCCGCGTAATTTTGCTGCTGGACTTGCCTCTAGCAATATGTTTGCACTCAGCACTGCCAGAGCAAGCCTTCCCAGTACTCAGTAGGGGCGAGAATTCCAGCTAAACCCTCTCTCCCACAAAGCCCAGACTCAAAATAACGAGAGGATTTAAAATGTTAACTCTACACATAAATGCGATGATTAACATGCTGCTTATATCGTAGATTTGAAGGGGAAAAGTGGCAATGAAATGCCCAGGTTTGGGAAATAACAAAATTATACTGAACATCTCCAAATTGTGGAGATTCCATTGCATCTTCCCCTGATCCAGGGGGATCTCTGCCATATCTTTCCCCACAGCTCCGCCCCTTTGGAGAGTGTCCTTGTGGCCACTTATGTCTGTCCTTCTTAGCAAGGTGCGGAGGACAGGGGGCAGACTGCGTCAGCACTGAGGAGCCATCGTCCTTGACTGGGACTTAAACAGTCTCCTGACAGGATTAAGCTCATTCTATTCCTAACCTTCAACAGAGCACGCAGGGACGGTTTGCCAGGGAACGTCAAACTCTGTATTTGGCTGAGGACTTTGGAAATACCTTGTGCTTGGGGTGGGCAAGCAAAAGGGAACAGATGTGATACACACTTGTGCTTTCTCTACAATGAAGAGAATATTTCCAAGTTGACTGAATGGCTAGTAAGTGCTACGTGCTGCTCACTTTATGAAACACATTTTAAAGAAATCCCTTATCCCTGACACAGCAGAAGTTTCACTCATAAAACAGACTTCTGGCTACTGAGGGTTTTTTCCCCCAGTTTTCTTTTGCTTTTAATTTTCTTTTTCTTTCTGGTTGTTTTTCTTCCTCTTTTTTTTTTTTTTTTTTGTTACTTGGAATATCATTATGTGGTTAAAATTCATGCTTTCCTTTGACATGTGGTCTGTGATACCAATAAACTTTTCTGGAGAAAAAAAGAATCTCTGAACTCCAAAGATTTCAGCATCCATGTTTTAAAAAAAGTGCCAGTTGGGCCCCAAAGCACACAGAGATTCCGAGGCAGCAGGGCAGCCAGTGCCAGGCTCTGTGCACTGTCATCTGTGGCTTTCTCTCAGACATCTGCCAGGCAGGGGTCATGAACCGTCATGAAGTCAATGTCGGGAGAGCCTTTCCAGAGAACACTTTTCTTTCAATTGGGGGTCCCTCTAGAAGTAAAATCTAAGATGTATCAGTGAGGAAAACCGAAGCTCCAATCAATTACTCAAAGGAAATGCTATCAAAGCATTAAACCAAATGAAAAGAAAAGGAGATTTTTCCTGAACGTAGTAAATAGCCACAATCAAAGTCAATGCCGTGTTTGAAGTTAAAGTCCACAAATCAAAGTACTTTGCAAAATGTCAAGCACAGGCATACAGAGGGCGAGACGGGAGCCACCGAATGGACCCAAAATACCACACTGTCACATGGGAGAAATCTGCCAGCAACTGTACCTGGCAAAAGATATTCAGCGTAGTGAGGAATCCTCAAAACAGCCCCCTAGAATGTGCTAGGAGCATACACGACAGCAACCGAAACAAAGCCCCAAATGCCCCCAAACAACCACTAATTCTCCGCCAGCAGTGAGCAGAGCAGGAACGAGAGGAGAGCATTATACAGGACAGCCGCCTGCTGCCCTTAGAGAACAATTACTTATCTATGTTCTGTTTACTCAGGTGGATGGTTGCATCTTTTTCTTTTTTTTTTTTTAATGCCCCTGGAAAGTTAAAAATAAAGCAGTCTAAACAACAAAAGTATGATGTCTGCAAGACCCTCTCATTGCCTTGGCAATCAGGCTTAATTAGACCTCTGATCCGGGGTCCAGTCACAGTGAGGTCCGTACCGCAGGTCACTGGCATGAGAACTTGAAGCAAAGTTTAAAGTTACAGCCACAAAAGTGCCCCGATGTTCCCGCTCTATTCTGGAACACAGTGTTTATCTGGGAATTGTTCACAACTCCCCTTTATTATTTTCACTACGAATAAGTTATTTTAAAGACATTAGTCATGAACATATCAGAAAACAATCAAATAATTCCGGAATAAAAGAGTCTTACCTACAGGCAGCTGAGTTCAGCAGTTGCTCTGGACAGAGGAAGTAGGAGTCAGTGGCCTTTTACATGTAGAGATTGTTTATTTAGCCCTTTTTAAAAGGTCTTGAACTCCAGAGGTTTCAGATTAAGTCCAATCCAAGTGTCTGAAGGAAAAAAAGGCAAGAGAGTGGCAAATAAGCGAGGGAAAGAATCCCAGCTGCTGGGTGGTGCTACTGTTCGGAGAGCATTTGAGCTATTTTCAGCATTCACAGCGGCCGGGGTTGTCTGCAGAGGGATGAAAATTCCCTTGCCCGGATCGCCACCCCCCACTCCAGGGGGCAGAAAACACCAAGCAGGAAACCCACCACAACTTGGTTCATTGTGCAAATATTCATTTAAGTCTTGAGGAAAACTGCCAGCCCCACTGAAAACAAAACAAACCCAAACTGGACTGGAATCTTAAAGGAACACAGTGCCCTGCCATCCTCCTCAAGTTTTCAGAATGAATTACCTGACTCATTGAAAACGAGATGTCCCAGTTATGCTGTATTGAGAAGGAAGACTTTGCTGCTGAGATTTCCTAGCTTGCTTAGAATGGGGTGTGAAGAAATACTCGAGAGCTCGCTGGTCTGTTCTTAAGACTGAAGACAAGTAATTTCTTTCTAGCATGCACCTAAATTTCCAGATTCATCAACTATGCTATTTTTGAAAGCTACCAGGATAAGTGTTGACATCTCTTATCTATTGGCAGAGACTGGGGGCCATTCAGTGACATGAGACAGACTATGACCTCTGCTTCTGCCTCCACAGGCCAAGGAAGAAATCATTCTGGCTGGGTCACTGGCAATGACTGACAAACTTGGAACTTTCATTTTGTTTCTGGAATTAAAAACTAAGAAGTTGCATTCATTCATTCATTCATTCATTCATTCAGCAAATATGATTTGTCAAACACTTCAGAGCTTACTATAAGCCAAGCACTCTGAGAGTACAGCGGTTGGCAGAATGAAGTGTCCTTGCCTTCAAGGGTACACAGCACACAGATGCAGCAGAATAAATAAAAACAGAATTTAAAAAAATGTTTTCCAGACGTTTTCACATGATAAGACTATTCACATCATGGTGGCTGAAGACTGAGCTCTCTTTCTGCTGTGGATGAAGGAAGATACTGCGTGTCATCAGACCAACTCCAGGCTTCCATCGAGTCATTATGCCGTCACACCACCACCAGGAAGGAAAATTAGTTACTCTCTGCAAAGAAGCAGTCACGTATTTTTAGGAAAGCTTCCACTGCATGTGGGTAAAATCCCTGTTTCTTTTCAACTCTACTCCCCATTACAAAAAGAATGCTTTGGTAGTCAGAAAGTTCTACTGAGACGCTTGCCATCGGGAGATGAAGACTCTTCAACCTGAAGCCAATGTAAAAAACCGCCCTGATATATTTCATAATTAATGGGAGGGTTGCTTGCTAGATGCTCATACAATTCAATTCTTTCTTTGCAGTTAAAGAAAGACACTGCAGCTAATCATGGAAAATACTGAGGATTATGCCATGTAAAAAAAAGGGTTACCTGACTACTATTTCAAAATAGTAAAATCCTTTCACTCAACAGACCTTATATTAAAACTATATTTCACCATGTGCAGTGGCTCACGCTTGTAATCTCAGCACTTTGGGAGGCCGAGGCAGATGGATCACGAGGTCAGGAGTTTGAGACCAGCCTGGCCAGCATGGTGAAACCCCATCTATACTGAAAATATAAAAATGAACTGGGCGTGGTGGCAGGTGCCTGTAGTCCCAGCTACTCCGGAGGCTGAGGCAGGAGAATCCTTTGAATCTGGGAGGTGGAGGTTGCAGTGAGCTGAGATCACACCTTTGCACTCCAGCCTGGGTGACAGGGCAAGACTCTGTCTCAAAAAAAAAAAAAAAAAAAAAAAACACAAACTATATTTCAAATAAAAAATTATACATTAAGTTTGAAATCTCTAATCTGAATTTTGTAATAAGATCAACTTTGTTTAACAAACATACACCAGGCTTTAAAAAAATCACTCTAGAATAACGCATTTTTCTGTTCATTTATTTTAAATGGTCACATTTTACTATGTGTTAAATACCTGCCAATCCAACATGGGATATTTGTTTCTCTTGGCCTCAATGTGGAATGATAATTCTACTGGTAACAATTGAAAACTTAGCCTCAAATAGACACATTTTTAAAAACTTGTTTTTTCCTTTTTCCTCCTTAGTTTATACCAGAAAGAAAACTGTATTTAAATATTGGTCTTTCTCGAGAAGCTATGGGTGTTTAGGAGACGAAGAGGAACTCTTTGAGTCACCACTACTTCTAAATCCCAAACAGCCTACATTCTGCATCCATGTAAGGGAGGCTCGCTGCCTCACTGGCACCTGTTAGCGTCATATTATATCAGAAGCTGCATTGCCCCAAGCAGGTTATGGCTCTGCAGCTGCTTTCATTTAGGACGAATCCTGTCCTTCCTTCTGACTTGCCAAGGTTCCCCTTGCTCCACAGGGGTCCCAACTGTCCAAGCAGCCTGTTAGTAACCACCTTTCAACAGATGTGATGTCATGGAGGTGTGCAAGTCAGATTTTAGGCATATTTTAAAAGGTTAGAGGATAGAAAATTCTGACTCTTCTACTCCTCCAACTACCATGACTTTTACGTTGTATGCCACTGATGTCTTAACAATTGTACTAATGTTAAGTTTGAGACCAGCCTGGCCAACATGATGAAACCTCATCTCTACTAAAAATATAAAACATTAGCCAGGTGTGGTGGTGTGGGCTTGTAATCCCAGCTACTAGAGAGGCTGAGGCAGGAGAATTGCTTGAACATGGGAGGAGGTGGTTATAGTGAGCCAAGATCGCACCACTGCACCCCAGCCTGGGTGACAGAACAAGGCTCCATCTAAAAAAAAAAAAAACAAAAAAAAACCACCACACCTTTTTCTTTGTTGTTTCTCTCTTTTTATTTCACAAACAAGTATATTTAAAATAATTTGGGCCCTGTGTGGTGGCTCACACCTGTAATCCCAGCACTTTGGGAGGCTGAGGTGTGAGGATCATTTGAGCACAGGAGTTAGAAGCCAGCGTGGGCAGCATACCAAGACCCTCCTCACTCAAAAAAAGAAAAAAAAAAGCTGTATGTGGTGGTATGCACCTGTAGTCTCAGCCACTCAGGAAGCTGAGGTGGGAGGATCTTGTGTGCCCATGAGTTCAAGGATGCAGCTGAGCTATGATCACCCCACTCCACCAGCCTGGTCAAGAGTGAGACCTTGTCTCTAAAAAATGTATATCTAAATAAATGAATTTTTAAAATATACAGTAATTTGAACAGGTTTATATGGGAGTCGATTTCTTATATCTTGATGAACACTAAAAAGGACCTTGGCATAACCCACCTTCGTTTGAAATGGGGATGGTAATGAGTTGTCACAGGGCTCATACGAATAATGCACATAAAATGCTTCACTGAGTAACGTCTGACACCCAGCAAGCAACTCACGGAAGTCGACACCGTCGTCACTGCTCTAAGTGTGAAGCCTTGCTATCCAATACGGCCGCTACAGGCGGCTACTGAGCTCCTAAAATGTGGCTATTCAGAACTGACATGTCATGTGAGTGTAAAATCCACGCTAGATTTTCAGGTCTTCATAGACACACGAAAAACGTGAATGATGAGAAACTACTCAATGGGTATGATGCTCATTTTTCAGGTGGCGGATACATTCATTCAATCCGACTTACTACCGCGCAGTATATCCATGTAACAAAAGTATCCCCGTGCCCCACAAATTTGTACAAATAAAAACAGATTAAATTTTTTCTCTTCCTAAAATATGTAAATGATCATCATTTTTATATTGAATGCATGTTGAAAAAAGAATGCAAATCTTCACATTAATTTTTATGTGTTAGAAAGACAATATTTCGGACATACTCTGTTACATAGGATATTTTGTTAAAGTTAATTTCACCTGTTTCTTTTTTCCTTTTTTCAAATCTGACCGCTAGCAAATTTAAACTTACATATGTGACTTGTGTTATATTTCTACTGGGCCGTGCCACGTAGGCCAGTGGTTCTTGAAAGGTAGTGGGCACCGCTGACCTGGGAGCTTTGAAAAAACGGATTGCTGGGTCCACCCCAGAGTGTGTGATTCAGGATGCCTGGCCGGGCCTGAAATTTTGCATCGTTCCCAGGTGATTCTTTGACCACACTTTGAGAACCGCTGGTCTTGGGCCTTGCCACTTAGAAAAGTCGTCCATGGACCAACCTTCACGTCCTCCCTTAGGATCTTGGTAGACATGCAGAACCTGAGGCCCCACCCAGACCTACGGAGCCAGCACGTGCATTTTCACAGCGTCCCCGGGCTGTGTGCAAACGTGTTGAAACTTGAAAGAAATTGATGTAAAGTCGTGGATGAGAGACGTTAGGGTGAATGAATATAAGGTAAACTTTTAAAAACACCAGGACCCTGGCCCCACCCCTAGAGAGTCAGATTTAATGACTCTGGATGTGACTCAAGCATCTGCATACGTGAACAGCTGATTCCAGGGTAAAGCCAGCGCTGAGAGTCCCATCAGACCAGATGTGGAAAGGCCAGGATCTAGAGACCAGACACTCTTGCTAGTGAGGGGGCAGATACCTGGGGACTGCCAGGTGCTGGAAAGACAGGTCCTGTGCTGAGGGGGAAGAGAGTCAAACTCAAACAGCCAGGGCAATGAGTGGGTGCTGCAGCCAGTGGGGTCGGAGGGGAAGCCAGGCAGAGGGCCTCCATGCCTCTGCAGGTGTGACAGAGTCCCAGCTGCTCCAGGTGTGGCGTTCCACAGAAGGCTGGGTAAAGCAGGGCACTCCTCAGTCTTGGAAAAGCTAGCACCCTAGGGCAAGTTATCTGCGCAGAGACTCAGGCTCTGAGGAACAAGATAAGGACCTTGCTACAGGAGCCCCGGTGTAAGTCCAAGTGGGGCCGGGAGCCCTGGACACTGTTTTGTAGACACTACATAGCCACAGGTTTGCTTTCAGAGGCTGGAACAGGAATCACCTTTTGGATAGAGATGAGGAGGGAAACAAACGGATGAAAATGTTGAAAATCAGATTCATTGTGTATTTTTTTTCTCTCCCTCCCTAACATCATAAAAACA